TATGGCTACAGTTGCAGGAGACTTAACTAGTATTGCACCATTAATTGCAGAGATTCCAAATTATAGTGGACAAATTCCACCAGATGAATGGTATCAAAGAATTAATAAAATATTAACTTTACCATTGATTACGGCAGCTGCCTTTGATAATCCGCTTCGAGCAGATATTTTAAAAAGTAAGATGGCTAGAAAATATACAAATATACCCGCTCAATATGCTGGTAATAATATTGATACCCCAGCCCATTTTATTATTTAGTTGCATCATAAATATCAAACAGAAATAGTTGGTACACAACAAGTTGCTACTCAAAGATTAGCACAAAAAAAATTCTTACTATTTGATAATCCAGAATCATATGAAGCTAGGATATGACCTCTTTTATTAGGAGTTGCTGGTGCTGATGCCAATATTTTAGAACTTCTTAAAGATTATTTATCAGAAGAGCTTTATACTTGGATAAAAATTGCTAATCTTGCTGGCATTAATGCATTTTTTACAGAACTTAAAAATATGTGGTTAGAATGTCCTTCAAATTTGTATAAAGGCTCCATTCCTGACCAAATCTTCAAACTTCAGCTGTTAATATACAAAATAAATCACATTCCAATAGTAGTGGTATATCTCGAGCTGAACTAGATAGTATGATAAAATCACAATTAGCTTTTGTATCAACTACTTCTATTCAGTCTTCACAGCTCCAGAAAACACAAGCTTTACAGTCTCAGCAAAAGAAATCCAATTTTAGTGACTACCTTAGAGTACTAGATAATATATGCCAAAAAGACCACCATATGGGTATAGCGTAAATTTATTCATTGTGATCTTATAAACCCAACTCCTTTAGCTAGCCAAATTATAGAATCTTTAGCTAATGATCTTTATAAAAAAGTGTCAGATATGTTTTCAGCAAAGCCAGTGCAATCAAAGAAAAATATTAAAGTCAACTCTGACAAAGAACTGGCTGATTGTATGGGTAAGTTATCAATAAATAAGGCTTTGTCAAAAGGTTTTGAGGCAGGGGTTCATGCTGTTATTAAATTATCCAAACACTGTTGTTCAAATTGTAATAGAACCAGACACAATTCTCATAAGTGTTCTAGAAAGAAATCTAAGAATTCCAAGAGATCTAGCAAGAATAAAAAAGGTAAGATTAATATGGCTATCAATAATTCTGGTTCTGATTCAGATTCTAACTCTTCTGATAATAATTCTGATTCTGGGTCTGATTCTGATGACACTTTCTCTGAAACTGAGAGTATGAATATTAACATTACCAGGGCAAAAAAAAAGTAAACCAGAAGAGTAGTTCAAGCAAATCATTATCTAAGAAGATATCCAAATCTCACAAGATCGATAAAGAACCTAAGTCTTGCAAGAGGGTAGGAGTAAGCAAACAGTTTTAGAACAAACTATTTGTAAAATTATCTAAAGTGAACTTAAAGATATTTTACCTTCATTATTGCAGAAGCTCAATTTTAATAATGAAAAATCATACCATATTCAAGATAATAATTATTGAGAACCAGCTCCAGAGATATCCAATTCGGATGAAGATGAGACTTTGGATGACCCTATAGAAATTGATTTTGTTTGTCAAAAAGAACCTGATACAGATATTGCGACTATACTATGCAAAATTAAGCGTTTAAAAATCTTGCAATGATACTTGATAGTGGGGCTGAAACTGAGATCGTAACAGAAGATATTGTTAAGCGTATAAATGGAAAAATTGATAGATCTGTGAAGTATGACCTTAGTGGTATTGCTACCATTCCAATTGAGTCTATTGGTATCGTTCGTAATTTACCAATAACACTAACTCCTGATTGTACTGTATATGAGGATTTTGTAGTCGTGAAATATTCCAAGCCAATGTTAATATTTTCAAACCGACTTCTCAAGAAATATGAATGTGTTATTGATTGGAATAATGATAAAATGAAGATTCATCACAATGAAAAGGATCACATTTTTTCTGTAACTATACACAAGATGAAGAATAAGCTTGAAGTAAATTATGCTACTGCGACTCAAGATGGCTCACATAATGAGGATAATATTACATCTAAACCTTTGGTATCTGATCAAATTTCACAAGAGAAATGGTATGCTCCCACGGATTTTATTATAGATTCTGATGATTTGACTTTTAAAAAAAACGCATGAGCTATAAGGAGTTAAAAAAATTACTATATGAGGTACTCGAATCCAATACTGAATTAATCAAGCTTAATAAAAAACTATGGGCTTATAACAAATCTGATATTGAAACAGTATATAGGCTCGAAGAGCCATTGCTCTGAAATAGATTGCAAACTACTTTAGAAAAAACAAAAATAGATTAGTTGAAATCTAAGACCCTTTTTGTCTCATGTTTAGCTTCTTTCCTTTCTTTATGATTTTGTGCAAGCTTAACTCGTAAGTCATCCATTTCATCTACTTTTTTTATCAGAATATCAGTTATACCAATCTTATTAGCTAAAAAGCTAGCCTCCGTACCGGATTCTGATTTTCTTTTCTTTGACTTCTTATCTGAAGTATTATTTTCAGATATTATTTTAGAAGAAACAACAACACTATGTATTAGTTGCTGTTTGCGCAAGGGTATTCCTTCAGCATGTCTTTTCCAAATTTCATATATTCTATGAGTTGAAGTACTTTATTTATAAGCCATTTCCCTGCATGCATTTTTAACTGTCTCTCGAGATTAAATGATTTCCTCAATAGCTTTTGGTAATAAATAAGGAGCACCAGTATGATAATATTCTACAGTTATGTGTTCCATCTTTTTTATAATTATAAAAAATTATCGAAAATTATTGAAAATGCTAAAATACACCTATTTCTCTTATGTTAAAAAAAGATCAGTAATCATAGGTAATTACATATTTAATATTCAATAATTTTCTAAAAAAATCGGTAATTATCTATTATTGTTGAATTATATTAGAAGTGTAATTTCTTTGATAGCATTACCAGATAATTATAGCGAAGCTAGACTCGAAGAGTTATTACAAGATAATAGTGTCTCTAATACATATTTTATCATATATATGTTCCATATTTTGTTATTTTTCATAATAATTCTCTTTATTTAAAATGGACAATATAATAAACCTTAAGAAAGAATTATATATCGCCCTCCAAGATTCTTCCGAGATAGTCTCATATAATGCTAAATTGCGAGATAGGTATGAAAAACAAGAAGAAAAATAAATCAGGAGAGAGAACAATAGATCAGGATAGAAAGAAGTGGGGTAAAAAACTGGGAGAGGCTAATACTGAGATTCAAAAATTACGTACTCATGA